TCGTGTCGCAAGTTCGGTATAGTCCCTTTAGGATTTCACTGGTGTATATAATCATGTGATCTCTCCGCCTGCGTTCATGGGAATACAGGTATGGAACCTCAAAGCGTCCAGTAATTTGAGGTTTTTTATCTCCGTTATGCGGCGCGTCGCTCTGAAGGTTCTCTTATACAATTACTAGGTCAGCAATTTCCACCTGCATTGAAAGGTGCTGTTAGAGTGCCAGCAAATATTCAGCCTAGGTTGTAACAAGGTGACATGAACAGTGTCATATGGGCCTGCCTCCCTATGTTTTGAAGGTTTCTCATTATCCATCCTGTCATTTTCTAGCAGATGCGATTGATTACAAGTTATGGTCCTTGTAGGTGAGTATCATCCGATCTTGATCAATCCACAGGTCTTTGGCGTTGGTGTTACATCTTTTTTTGTGGCCTGAATTTGTTTTTGTACTTGATTGGAAGATTTAATTTTCCCGTGTTTTCCTTATCTGGAGTAATTGAAATTTCTTTTCGTTGACTTCATATTGTTTTCTGATGCCCAACCTGAAAGATTTGGTTGATTGTCTGGGCCCTGGAACCTTGCAGTTCTGCCAAATGGAAAGGACACTGTCATGCAGATTCGGGTGTTCATCTGCAAAGGAAGACACGGTTGCTGTGGCTCGACTTCCTTGTTATGTAAGATGTGAGGATATGGAACAAAGATGGGAAGCGAGTACTGTGCCCTTGTGGAACAGTGCTTTTTCACCGTGGCTGACGCGCGACTTGACTCTGTTGACTAACTTACTCTCTGTGTTCTGTTATGTGGAAATTATTAGATCCCATTCGACCGACTTTTTCCTGGTTATTCCATTAGCACGCAATTTGTGCGCTATTACGCCATGGTCACCACTTGTCGAAGGCTTTTGCAAAGTCTGTTATATATTGCATCTGCATTCTTTTTGCTTCTAGTGCATTTTAGGACCTGTCGTAGTGTACAGTAGTTGAGTCAGACAGGTTCGACCTGTTCAAAACCCATCTTGCCCTGGGTTGTGATAACTGTTGTGTTTCTAGTTGGGTGGTGATCTTGCTTCTTAGGACCCTTTCAAGTTTTTATGATATGGGCTGTATAGTGTATCGGTCCTGTAGTGCTTTGCTGTTGCTTTTACTGCCCCTTTGTTGAGTGGGGCTATGTCTGTTGTTTTTAGTAACTGTGGGACGACCCCGTTTCCATGCTCCCTCTCCATATGATGGTTAAAGGCTCGTGATAGAGGCTTCTTGCAGTTCTTGATGAACACAGAATTCCTGAGTCTGCGCTGGGGCAGGAAGTGCATTGGCATGTCATTTATCGCCTGTGCGAAGTTCATTTTTGCGTCAAGATAACATCAGTTAGCATTGTGTTAACAAATTCTGTGGCTCTCTATAAAAAAAATTCATTTTGATCTTCGTACTCTCAGTCTGGTTAGCGGCTTGCTAAAAACTGAGTCATATGGGGACTTGAGTTCTCACTCATTTCCTTGCTGTTCATCTGTGTAGGACCATATTGTTTAAGTAAGGGCCCATTACTGGACGTTGTTCTCGACTTTGATTTGGCATATGAGAAGAAAATACTTTGGGTTTATTTCGATTTCATTATGGCTTTTAGTTCTTCCTGCGTTCTGACTCATATATGATTACTATAGCTTAAGTTCGATGCTTGCTATTTTTTCTCTGACCAGTGCCTACCTACGCATTTCAGATATATGACCTCTTTTATTCGCTCTGTTTATTCTTTCCGTCGCCTGTAAAGGGTGCGCCTGTATCTTTCTATTTTACATTTACTCCTCCCTTTTTATTAGGAGGAATAAGCCTGTGCATACATCAAGTGCCACCTTTTTAATGCTGTTACTAGTCATATAGTTGGGAGTCTGTGTTGCTTTGTATATTTCACAGCTTATATCGGTTAGGACTTGGTTTACTTGCGTCCCACTTTATGTTTTTTTTAATTGACGTTGAATTTGGTGAATGCTCCCTTATGACTATAATCTCATTATGTCTGTCTGGGCTCCGCGCATTCGTGTCTGAACCTCAATTTGTTGTGATCTGAGTATTTTGTTTTTGATATGGTGACCATTTCTAATCAGATCATGATTGCTCGTAGTAGCTCTATTATTGCTGGTTTTAAATTGAATTTTGTGCAGAGTTTTAAAAAGCTGTTGTGGTGTGAGTTTTCATCAGTGCTGCCTCTGGTTGTTATTACTGTTCACAACAATATTTTTTGCTATATTCCTCCAATTTTGGGTACCTTAAGTTGAGATCCCCCAGGATCCAGATGTTGGGTATGCAGGAGCCGGAGATTTTACAGACAGTGGTCAATTTTAACAGCTGTTCTGGAATATCTGGATGCTGCATCCGGAGGCTTGTAGAATCAAAATGACTAGGTTTTGCGTTCTCGATCTTTACGCTAAACATTCCACTACATCATTTGAGCAATTAAGCAGGTTCTGTGCCAACAAGTGACTCTGCAATTGTACAGGCCCAACCTCCCCCCCTTTTGCATGTTCACTCCTGTCACATCTGGATAGGTTGGTACATGGGAACCATATTTAGTTATCCAAGTGTTCCCTTTTTATCTGGGTCTAAGTGATGAAAGCCTCAAACATTGCCTTTGCCTCTGCAAGCAGTCCACGGATTGAAAAGTATTTTGTTGTTTGTTGCATGGCTTTAGACCCTGTATATTTGCCAAAGAAGAATGTCATCGGAATGGTGGTATTGTTGGTACTGAGGGGGGATTTTTTTTCCAGCATTAGTATCTGTATCTGTTGCGTTTTGGGTGTGGAGGCTATCGACTTGGTTCCAACTCCTGAAGGGACTGGATTTGGTGTACAATTTCTGGCCATTTTTCTGCCAGTTTTTTTCCTTCCTGGCACTAAGAACCTCTCCTTGATGGCTGTGGCTACCCTTGTTTTCCATGGCCTGGTGTTTTGTATCTTGTTGTCCCTTTTAGATGGTGTGCCTGGCAAATTAAGTTTTAAACATCTCTTTCTGTTCTGAAGAGGTTCACAGTTCAGGGTGAAAAAGCTTAAGGAAGGGAGTTTGCAGTTTCCTGTTGTCATTATGGGCATGGCATTTTCTTAAGGTGGTTATATAGTGGCATTCCCATCTGTTTTTCCAGATTTCCATGCCTGCGATACCAAGTGCATAGTTCGTGCACAGGCTTGGTTTCCGTCTTGCCTTGGATTTCTGTGACTGTATTCCCTGTTGGTGCATGTTTCCCTGTCTTAATTCTGATCCTCTTGCACCCAACAATGGAGCTCCAACCAGTTGGTTTTAGGTTAATATATTCCTCACTATTGCTTGTGGAGTCCTCTTGTTTGCTATTTCCTGTGGTATTTCTAGTGGGCAATATTGGTTTTATCTTATCTTTGACTACACTGTTTCCCCACTACGGCTCCTGTTCCCCCTATGAGGTAATTTATATGCAGACTGGTTAGTAGCAGACTTGTAGTAGGTGAAAGGTACTAGGAGACTGAAACAAGAAGGACTGGTATCTAGCAGACTGGTTGTATGTGACAGGTACTAGAAACTGATTACTAGGAAGACTGGTACTAGGTAGACTGTAGTAGGTGACAGGCACTAGGAGGATTGATACTAGAAGGACTGGTTCTAGCAGAATGGGGTACTAGCAGTTGGTACTTGCAGACTTGGAGTATAGGAGACTGGGTACTAGCTGCCCCTGGTTATGGTGACAGGTACTAGGAGGAATGATAAATAGAAGACTGGTGCTAGCAGCTGGTAATCTGAGACAGGTACTAGCAATACTGGGACTAGTAGAATGGAACTGCAGACTGGCGGTAAAGGTGCAAGGAGGCTGATACTGACAGACTTGGTATAGCAGATGGTTACTAGCAGACTGGTACTTACAGGATTGGTACTAGGAGACTGGTACTGCAGACTGGTAGTAGGTGACAGGTTAATAGGAGCTGATGCTTGAATGACTGGTCCCGGTGGCCCGGTGGCATGTAGGGCAAATTCTGTAACTCAGAATGACCAAAAAAAATCGAAAAAATCATTAAAAATATTAGTTATTCTTACCGAAAAATAGAGCAAACATCTGGCACATTTGGTGGCGTTCGTGTTGTACGATAATTAGATAATAAAGTTATCGTTAATTATAGGAAGATAAACTATTTTATAACTATACCAGGTGTACCCACAGGGGTTCCCGTTCATAACAATACCCACACACGTATTTTTTTCCTTTTTTTCTTTTGGTGTATTGGTGAGTTAGATCTTCCTAGAGTAACATGGCAACCATCAGTGTAGCTGTGAGAAGGAGCTGTTGGTACCAGTGGTAGTCAGTGCCGACTAGTATAGAAGTCAGAAGAGGTTGGTTGTAGTCGCTTCCTTCGACAGCTGTCTACCCTTGGACCGTCACTTTTTTGCCTTTCATTGTATACATTTTGGCATTTCGATGCCTAGAAAGAATAGAAAGTCTATCCCGACGACTAACAGGAAGCAGAAGAAAGCGGATTATGAAAGAGTTGACAATGGCTTAGAGAAAGGAAGAGAGAGGATGCTGCTTTGTGTGGTGTGAGGCCTTGTTAGTACCACCACACTCCTCTCAAGAGTTAGTACCACACACTACTTAAAGAGTTAAGTGCCACCACACTCCTCTCCAAAGAGTTAGTCCTCCACACTCTCTCAAGAGTTAGTACCTCCACACTCCTCTCAAGAATTAGTACCACCACACTCATCTCAAGAGTTAGTACTCCACACTCCTCTCAAGACTTAGTACCACACACTCTTCAAGAGTTAGTACCACCACATCCTATCAAGAACTTAGTGCCACCACATCCTCTCAAGAGTTATGGGCCACCAACTCCTCTCAAGACGAATCCCATGGCCATGTGGCCACCGTGGTCACCTTGACAGCTATACTATCACGGTCTTCTAACCTCACATGGCCACCATGACGACTACTACCTTCCACAGCCACTACCTCCACGGGCCACTGTATTGTGGCACCCCCGTTCACGTGGCCGACCTATGAGGATCGGGAAAGCAGAAACAACAGCGTTACCACATGTTGGCACACGACGTCCAAGTTGGGCGACCCAAAGTGATCGAAAATCCAAAAGATATGTCACGTCTGTAGCCAGCACCTCAATGCACATCTTGTGGCCAGCATTTCCATGGCCACATCTCCGGTGGCCAGCATTTCATGGAACATCTCCGGTGGCCAGCATTTCCTGGGCAACATCTCGATGGCCACATCTGTTGCCACCCAACGTTCACGTGGCCCCGGACCTAGAGGATCGGGGAAAGGCTGAAAGGAAACAGGATACCTGTGGCCACATCTCCGGTGGCCAATATACTGTGGCCTTGCATCTCCATGGGCCACATCTCTGGTGGCCACATCCGTGGCCAGCACCTCCACTGCCACCACAGATGTGGCCAACAGCTCCTTGGCCACCAATGAAGATTCATAATAGTGTTGAACGTGACAGTGATAGTTGTGTGTTGCGAGTGATATTCCAGTGTCAACACCCTGACCTGCTGGGGTTGTCAAGTGCCAAAAAGAGAGGGTCAGTATTTGGACCACTATACATCCCTCATAGCACTGGGTAAAAGAGATTGATGATTGTTGTTCGTTGAAATTTATATTACTGATATCTTTCGCATGTTTAGTTTTGCCGAAGTGTGTCGTGTTGCAAGCTTGAAGCCTGTATATTATGACAACATCTAGAGGCACTGTTTTGATTCAGAGGTTATTATGTGTCCCTATATGTGTGGGGGGAAAAACCCCAGGGTCGTATAAAACACTTGAATGCTCGTAAAACTGGTAGGATGGTGTATGGGGAGGAATTGTAGCAGGTCGTGGATACCGTGCATTTGTCCGTGAGAAATGCAGTGTGTAGTTTCCCACATATCAGTATGGAGACATACAATAAATATTGCGTCTATGATAACAGAAAAAATTCTGTCGAGTCTGTAAGAAATACTTGCTGAATCTAAAGGACTTTATTGTTCAAAGAATTCGCAAACTGAAATTGTGCCGACCCGATGATGCAGGAATTCTTGATATTGATGTAAACGTATGACGGACATGCACACAAGGAGGACATCACTCAAATATAGGCATTGGTGTTGCTATAGATGCTTGACAAAATTTAGTGGTTTTGATTATCAAATTTTCAGCAAGTACTGTAATAGTGTTCCTTTTTGGAAATCGTTTGAACAGTAAGAAAATTAATAATGAAATATGAGAATTTCGGCCAAAAAAACACGAACTTGATGCAACATAACTATTCAGGAACTCTCTGCAAAAGATGGAAAGTGATGCTGCAGTAATGATGTGGAAGCGATCACTTGAAAATAAATTTAAGTTACAAAACAATTGTGAGTGATGGTGATAGCAACACATATAAAAGCCATTGCTGACCTCAACGATGGTGAAAGGTCCCATATCCAGGTGTAAATGTTGGAAAAAGCGGAATGTATCAATCACTTGCTAAACGTCTAAAGAAACTGACTAATATATTTAGTCAAGTCACAATATGTGAGAAAGAATTGAAAACTGGGCAGGGACAGAGGGAAGGATGTTCGCCACGAAAGAAATGGGCATGTTAGCGACTTTTGTAATCGATAAGTTGACTGCACTACTATTCAGAAGAACCTGCGAGAGAAGATCTCAATCATGATGTGAGATATGAGGAATAGTATCATGGCAAAGCTTCTTGCATTGTTCCTCAAAATGATGAAAAACCACAGCATACCTTATGCCCAAAAGGTGGATAATTCCTGTTTCTACCAGAAAGCAGAGTAGTAGCAGCAAACCTTCCCCCACCATCTCACACAATATGGAAAGCTGACAGCTCCAGATAGTAAATGCATACATGAAGAAGGGTGCATAATATTTACAAAGTCCTAACAACTGATGGAAATGATGCGGCGTTGTGTAAAAGGCAGAAGCAAAACGCCAATGAATGTCTACATCAACGCATTTGGTCTTACTGCAATAAAACCCTATTTCGAACCAAGAGGCAGCTGATTTCGCAGCAGCCCATGCTGTGTCAGAGTACATTAGTGGGTATGAGAGGAAGCTGCCTAGACATACCACTTGGCTCGGGACGTTCAGCATGACTCAAAAAAACACCTTGAAAAATGGACTAAGAACATGCAGGTAGTACGGCCAGGAGAAAAGCAAGAAGAGGATGGAAAAGGGGACAGGACACGTCCTCGAGCCTGGGTGGGACATTAGATGAAAATGTGTCCACCTACACCTGGTCAAAAGTACGTAACATAATTCTTGTGCTTTTTTTTTGTGTATTTTTATGTATATAAATATCATATATGTGTGCAATTACAGCATCTGTATACTAATCACTGGGAATAATTTACTGGGAATGGATTTTTTCGAGCATTTCATTTCTTTTTTTCAGTTTAGATTGGGATGGATTGTCATGACTGGCACGACCTCAGAAGAACTTTCAGGATGAAGGGAACTCATGTAACTTCGAGGATGAAGGGAGATCTTCATGGAACTCAGGATGAGGGGGTCACTTCAGGAACTTCAGGGATGGAAGGACTTCATGGAAACTTCAGGATGAGGGACCTTCATGGAACTTCAGGATGAAGGGAACTTCATGGAACTTCAGGATGAAGGGATCTTCATGGAACTTCAGGATGAAGGGAACTTCATGGAACTTCAGGATGAAGGGATCTTCATGGAACTTCAGGAATATTGTCTGAACAACCAGTTCTACTCAATAAATGTATAAAGGCACTATGAGTATTTTTACCCACTCTGTAATAATGTTCAATGTATTCATTGATTTTCTTGAAAGTGCATTTGCTTGTATTTATGATATTGATGTCCACATCCCCCCCCAGGCGCTGTATAATCCTCCGGGTTTAGCGCTTCCCCCTTGATTATAATAATAATAATAATAATAATAATATGATATTGATGCACCATTATTTATGATATTGATGCACCATTATTTATGATATTGATGCACCATTATTTATGATATTGATGCACCATTATTTATGATATTGATGCACCATTATTTATGATATTGATGCACCATTATTTATGATATTGATGCACCATTATTTATGATATTGATGCACCATTATTTATGATATTGATGCACCATTATTTATGAACCAATCCCCTCAAGGGAGGTTCCTTGATGCTGGTGAGGGGTTCTTGATTTTTTGCACGCTCTAATATAAAATGGAAAAGTTTTGGAAAACTGAGTTTTTCATATAGAAAAATAGCTAAACTCTTCTGGCAACACATGGTACAGAATCCAAGTCGACGAGTTTCTCGAGAAATTTTTTTTTTATTTAAGTCAGTTATATATGTTTGGTGAGCGCGATATGGGTTAGCGAGTCTGCTCACAGCCCATATATATTTTGGAAAATTTTCCTTGTTTTTTATCGATTTTTCTTGCATTATTCTTTCTAATATAATAACTGACTATTTGGCATCACAAAACCATAGGTGGAGCTTATCGGTAAACTTAGAGCAACCAGGAACTTCGGGGAAACACTGGGTTAGTGTTCCCGCTCCAGAGAGTGTGCCAGGAAGGAAATCACTTATTATTACGCTTATATCAGCTTATAATCAACTCTAACGGCGTTATTTATCTATCAGAATTGATCATAAAACTATATGATATAATAAACAAGAGAAAAAATAACATACAAGTGGAATACGATGGGACAATAAGTTCGTTTTACCGCTTCTCACTGGTTTAAGAATGGCTTTACGTCGTTTGTTTCAACAGTGTCAAAAAACGCTTTTGACTCATCTGGGAAGTCAGTGGGAGCTAAGTCGTTTTTCTCCTCTACTGGTGAAAAGATTGATCAGTGGAGTGGATGAAGGTCCTCCCCAGGCAGAAATAGCAACCCTAACCCATGGTCAGGACAAAACTCATCCTCTACCTGACAGGGTAAGGATAGTGGAACAAGGTCAACAAGATTGGTGTATTTGCTCTAAAGGCGAAACAATGTGACCAGATGTGTTGGCCAGGTAGAAATGGATCTTACTCTCTTTACAACATGTTAAGGATGGTTCAACAAATAGACCTTTTACTTTGCAGGGAATCACTGTCAACTAGGACGTTATCACCATCTGGAAACACTAGGAACAACTACAGACACTATTGTGAGAGCATAGACCGCAACAGAAACGTCTTCTGTCCAGGAACGGCATTGTGACATCAACAATAGATGGCACATTTAGTTGAAAGTATTGTTTTTCCGACATAAGGCGTCCCTGTGGAGAAATACTTACTCGATCTGAGGCATTGCGGGATAGGTTGAGCAATCAAGGCAAATATGAGCGTCTCGGACACTTGAGCTCGGACTATCCTGCAATTCTGAAGGTATAGGTGGAACATGTATGGAGTGGACAGTATTACAGTGCCTGACCGCTTGGGTTCGCTAATGGAGAAATGCATTAGCTTGTAAGGTTTAATTCCCGCTACAATCTTACTCTGCCAGCAGTATAACGATTTCTGATCCTATAGCTGGGTAACCCCAGTGAACGATCAAGCAGTCATTTGTGCATTGCCATCGATAAGGGTCGTGCACAATGCGTAAGTCTCGCATGGAAGCAAATCCCAGTAGGTCGGTCACCAGGGAAAGTAAATCTGATCGACTAAAGGAAGGAAACAGTGAAGTCTTACCTTGGATAGAAAAGGTTAGGGCAGTCGTACCTCGGGGAAAGCAGGTGAGAACCTGTTACCCACTAAGGGAGGGACACAGGTGTCTCGGTTCTACAGGAAGGGGACATGTCGTAATTCTTAATCTTTAAACAAAATAGACCTAATAATATTGATTTGCGCACCAGAGTCCATGAACAATTGAACGGGCGCATTTTAACAGATGCTTGCACTATAGGGACTATGGTTGCATTGGAAGTTATGTGCAAACAAAAAGGTGGATATTTTCATCAGAAAAGACTTGTTCTAATCCATCCCAAAATCATCTGTGTCAGGACATGTGAAAGCTACAACTCGGCAGGGTTGTCGTTTCGAGACGGCTTAAGGCTTCAAAGGAGTTGTTGAACGGGGATGGTGTTCTATTAATCACATTACTGTCACCATGGGGGGTTTGTGAACTGGGCATGCGCTCGAATTCCCCCGACTGGGAAGAAGAACGAGCCTGGTTCTGGTGAGTTTGGAGAATTGAATGAATGAGGCCTGGTTCTGGTTATTTTGAAAAACCACAGATCTGTTACACTCGACAGGGTTCTGCGGTTGCGCGAACGAAACGGAAAGATCCTAGAGTACTGAAGGTTATAGGGCATTACACTCAGATGTGTCATGTCCCATGTATTTATGTATGTACAGTAAGGGAGATCTGAGAACTAATCATCAGTAGACGTCTCTTAGGATAACTATCAGGACAATTAATTGCATTATGTCCACGGAAACCACTGGTGTAAACCATTACGCCCGACTAAGGTTACTGGAATGTACTATGAATACTACAAGGTGTTATAACGGACTCTGTACACTGGTTCTTGGTGATCTCGGAGATGGTTGTCGAATGACGATTTGTCTCTGTG